ATATATATATATATATATATATATATATATATATATATATATATATATATATATATCATTCAATACGTTAGTGACTGAGTGAAATAAAACGCCATGTCATAAATCAATGCACCTGATGAGAAGACATTTATTTTTGATACAAAAGCGATATCATTTCATCAGAGAGACGGAGAGTTGCGAGATGGACCTGATTCCAATTCATCTATCATCAATACAGTTGATCGCGATCTCCATTATTAACACGAGGAAACCAAGGAGATCCTGGCCGTCCGCATGGAGGGAGGAGATCCCATCGGACGGCTCCCCTTTACACTAGATCCTGCGGAGCTTGTCGGCCTTGACGACGGGGTTGGCGAGCGCGATGGCCTCCCGGCCCGCCGCCTTGTAGTCGAAGGCGCACGCGTGCCGCTCCGGGTACCGGTGCTGTCCGCAGTAGGTCGACCCGCACCGGCACCGGAACCCCGTCAGGCCCACCCGCTTCCGGCACGACTTGCACCGCGTCGGACGCGGCGCCGGCTCCGCAGCGGCCTCGGAGGGTTTTTCCGAGGGCGAAGATGGTGCTGTGGAGGAGGAGACAGTGGCGGCGGAGGACGGCGGTGGGGAGAGGGAAATCTCGACGGCAAGCTTGGCGGAGGCGGCTTGCTCCTCCTTGAGGCGGAAGTCGCGGTAGCACTTGGAGCAGAGGTTGAGGGTGGCGGGGCTCCCGAAGAAGCTGCAGTTGTTGGCGCACGGCCGGTGGCCCTCTTGGCATCGCTGCTTCTCCGCCATCGTTCCGCTCGTTTCTTGCCTCCCTCCTTACCGATCGACCCGATCAACAAGACGAAATCTGCACCAAATCAACCCAAAAGTTCAGCAAAGAAGAACAACCACCAAGATCTCCCTCCACCAATCCAATAAATCACAGAAGACACGAATCGAAACGTCGAGGCAAAGAAAGAATCCGGCGGAAGAAATCGATCATGCTTCAAGATCAGGTGAGGAATAGCGTGCAGAAGCAAACCTAACCGACGGATTTCCCCGAAGGAGGAGAAAGGGGAAGGCAAAGGAACCGACCTTTACGGATCCGATCGCCTCCCTCTTCTCTTGGTCGTAAAAAAGAAGAAAATAAGACGGTAATGAAAAGCGTTATAAACGCGCGCAACGATATGGAAATAATATAACGCTTCGATAGCGTTATAAAACGTCCCCTGAAAACTAAATTATTACGATGCTGCCACCCATCATTGCCAGCATGTCATCATCATGGCGGCATATGTTGTCTTCATCACGTCATTACACTTAATATTATGTAATGCAGTGTGTTAGTACGCCAATAATCCCATGCTTACATTGATGTTCAAATATTATATATATATTATAAAAGAAGAAGAAGAAGAAGAAGAAGTAGCTTAATTCAAATTGTGTAGTTGCCATCCAAATTGTTGTTTGTTCGAGCTGAGACGACTAATTTAAGATGCTCAGCTGCAGCTGGATGGAGGAAGGTCTCTCTCTTCCCTTCTTCAGTTAAGCTGCTTCCTTACTCAACAGAGTTCTTGTTGGCTTATTGAGGAAGACTTGTTGTTTGTAGTTCTCTTACCTACTGAGTAAGTTTTAATTATCTGGTGGTTGCCAGATCTTGAATAAACAAGAAGGTTGGTGCAATGATTTAGACCTTGAGATATGTTGTCATCTTCTTGAGGTTTCTTCATACAACCAATCTTCTCTGGGAAGATGCGTTCAAGAACTGCATTTGTCTAGAAGGCAGTCAAACAGGGTGTGCCCTCTCACTTTCTGTGTGCCTGTTGATCTTTAAGTGAAGGGAATAGGAGATGGGAAAGAGAGGAGAGAAGAAAGATTCCATTTCTCTTTGTTTGAATCAACAAAACTAACGAAAAGGATCATTATTTTTATTTATATTCTAATTTTTGTTTCTTTTATGAGGACAAGAAAAATAAATATTTGTGAGAAGTAATTTATTTTTAATTTTCTCAACCTACTTCTAAAACTTATTGTAAGTATAAAATCTATAATATGCTATTTATAAAGCGAAAAAACTTTAATGTTATGATTGAAATCAAATAACATTAGATTAGTTTTTACGATATGTATCTTTTTATGTTATTTAAAAAGAATTTCTATATGATCTGCAAAGATATTGTCTTTAGATCAAAAATCATTATCAATCTGTAATGATCACTTAGATTGAAGATTCAGAGAGGTTCAGAGAGAAACTATAATATCTCAATTGTGTCTTTTATCATATAAGATGTTTAGCCCTTAGAGATCTCTATTTACAAGCAAGAATAGAAGGTATAAGATAAGTTATTACGAGAGTTCTTTCCATCGATGATATCCTATAAGAAAGCATACTTTAATATGAACTTTTATTTTTCTAGAATTTAATTAATTTTATTATATATCTTATGAAAGGATCATATAATCTAACACTTGTAAAAATTTACTTTATCAATATTTTTATTATAATATTTTTTAAATACCTAAAATATAATATGATGATGATGCACTTAACTCACTTTCTTTGTATGAAAGTTCAAAGTCTCACTTTACAATTTTAAAAGGTATTGACTAGCCGAGTTTGTTAGGCTTTTGTCCTATCATATCAAATTCTATGCTCATCACTTATTATTTAGAAAAAATATATATTTCATCACTTGTTTCGGTTAGTGTTTATCATCTCTTATACTTTTCATTTTCTCGCTATCTCTCTCAATTTAAAAAGGTTAAATGAAATGGTACATAGCTTGCAGCTTGAGATTATTATTAGTACATGTTTCGATTAGCAATGACAAAGAGTAGAATTTTAACAAAATTTTAATTAAATCTAAATATATTCAAAATTAAACGACACATTGCTATAAAAAAATAAATCCAATAAAGTGGGATTTTTTTATTAAAGAAAAGAAGCCATTCAAACGCCGAGTCCAAATCGGCGGCGGCAAAAGAAAGGTCGGTGGGCGTACTTCACACGCTTGCATCAAACATGAGGATTCTTCTGGCTGCTAGGGAGGACTTCGTACTTCCACGACTGCATCAAATCAAAGATGAGGTTTTTAGTAGCTGCAAAGGTGGACAAAGTCCAACCTTGTACTCCATAGCAAATGAGCAATCTGCGTTTGGTCTGTGAGGTCATGTTCTCCGAAGGAATGTATCTGACGTGGATCCAATCTGTACACAGGATAAAGACCGCGTCATAATCTCTTCTCTTGTCTTGCGGTGTCTCAATCTTGAACTCCGGAGTTGCGTGGGTGGTGCTGACTCAGCAATAATCGAACTATTTACGTGGATTATTGTCAACATTTTTATTTGCAATAAAAAGCTTTACTTCGATGTGAAGTTCTATGAGACGGCGGCGGACGGGAAGAGTCAAGTGGGACCCAAAGCAGGTTGGACGTTTGATTGGAAAATCGCAGTGCGGGACCCGTAGCCATCGTCCATCCGTAAGCTGACACGTTGACAGCGACGTGCAAAGTTTCCATCGAAGGATTCCCTGCATGCACTGACGTATCTTACCCGTCTCACAATTCTGAATGTTGATTGGACAACTGGAGAGAGACCTTCCAGTGACCAGACAGGTAGCTTTTGCGGTACATCTATTGGGGATCCGAAACGTGGCCACGTGCTCCATCCTATTTTCCAGGAGCGCCACGAATACATGTATCCGGAGAAAGAGACATCCCGCGAATCGACAAACGGCCCCTATTTTTTCTACCCACCTGTGGCACCTCTCCTGCAAAAAGTACATGGAAGCGGGGCCCGCCAGTTGGGTCGGAATCTTATCCAACCACGACGCTGGTTCAGTCGTATCGGACGGATATCCGCTGGACAGATATATTTTATTTTATTCTCCGTATATGCAAAATTGGCATTCGTGACGTAAGTCTTAGTGACAAACCCAACGCATCGCGTTCTTTTTCTCTCGCTCTCTCCTCGCCCAATCTTCCACCAGATCTTAAACGGCCGGCCTCCGAGACCGAAACAAGAACGATCTGAAGAGGGGGGCGTGACACCATTCCCTCGCCTCGTCTCCTCGATTTCTCCGGTGACCAACCCTAGCCCTAATCTCTAGCCGAGACCGAGAGAGAGAGAGAGGAGGGACGAGCTGATGGATTCCGATTCGATTGATGGATCTTTGATGAACAACGGGAACCACGCGCCTTCTGATAGACCCATGAAGGTCATCATCGACACGGATCCCGGGATAGGTGCCCCCCTCTTCCCTTTTTCTGCTTGCATCGACGTTGATTGACCGGAATTCTCTGTCGTTGCTTCCATTCCTTTGCATTGTTTCTTCCAATCTGATTTCCGAGGAAGTTCTTTCTTTTGTGTATTGACGGAAACAGTTGAGGGTATAAACGAGTGGAAAGGCAATAATGCTGTTGCTGTTGAATTAGGATGTTGATTTGGACAACCTCCCTTTTGCTTTTGTAGAAAGAAAAGACCACGACCATTTCCTTGATAGTTCTTGATTGCTTGAGTAAACCTAATTTCATGTTTAATTATCTTAAGGTTATGTTTGAAGCATACGATTACTCGGTTCCCCGTGTTCAAGTCCTTATGTCTCTTTTGCTTGATGCTTGCCTGATCTGTGTCACCGAGCCATAAGCTTAGATTTTCTGATTTGGAGAAAAGACTTCAGAGATCTGTGTAGATCTACAAGGTTGACATTGAGAAGACAGCCGCATCTGTGATGATGAAATTTTCCCTTTGTAGAGGCTTGGTGTCCTCTAATGCAATAGCTTCTTTCATAGTCAGTGTAGTCAAAATTGCATTTCATCATCATGTCCTGAACTCTTGACTGATCCTTTTATAAATTTGGCAGTCGTCTGTAGTTAAGAATCCTTGAACGAATAATAATGATGATGACATTGTTAACATCATGCATTTGGGTATAGTGTTATTCTTAAAAACCAATGTATTTTCTTTTTATTTTATTCGTTTTCTAATGAAGAAAAGTTGATATCCATGAGATTATTAAGTTTTTCATAATATACTGAATAAAGCTGGCAGTTTTAGCCCATCCCCATTTGGTCTTTTAACAACATACTTCAAGTGGCAAGAGACCAACTATTCGATTCAGAAGTATTGAGTACGATATATACTGAAGCTATTTTTTATGAAGTGAATGTTCGAATAAAATAATATTATGTTACATTCTCCAGAAGTTTCATCTTCAATGTTTAAGAAGAATTATTTTGTCATCTACTCTTCAGTGCTCATGAGAAAAATTCCAATGGGATGTTGCTTATGAGCTCATGTAGCTACTTTTGACGTTTACATGTGGCAGACGTCCAACATACTCTGTCATTTTTAGTCTGTTGATGCGTGTAGTGTCCTGAATTCATGTTTGATCCGTGAGCTAATTATTTGGTCTAAATTATTTACTTTCAATCTTTATGGGACTTTCATTGAATTTTTTGAAATTATTTAATGAGCTCAAAGTATCTGGTTCATCTACCTGATTTTATGCATTCCTTATGATTTTCTCTTTTGCACATAACTTTTGCTATGTTGCAATAGTTTTTTTCCTTATAATATTTTTACTATGTCATGATGACAAACCTTTGTTTTATGTTTGTCTTGTGTGTTTACTCTGATTGCAGATGATAGCATGGCCATATTAATGGCATTTCAAAAACCAGAGATTGAAGTTTTAGGTTTGACGACAATATTTGGTAACGTGTTTACTGAAGATGCTACTAGCAATGCCTTGCTTTTGGTACATATCTTTACTTTATAAATAGAATATGATATTCAGCAGTGCAGTTTAGTGGCAGGTGTTCTTAGTTTGCTTGTTTGAAAATGTTGATTCTGATGTCCCAGAAATAAATTATCTTATAATCTATATTGTTGAAAAGGATAGTGTGAGATAGCTGGACATCCTGAGGTTCCGGTGGCAGAAGGAAGCCATGAGCCTTTAAAGGTAGGGGTTCATTCCCATCTACTATGCTTCTATAACAATTGTGCCTTTTCTATTTTCTGACAACATTCAGTTGCTTATTATATTTTTTGGGCGACTTTAGTTTAATTGTTAAGAATGGTCATCTATTCATAATCTCTAACTACATCATGTCATATGTTCTGTTCTTAATTTTCACAATGCACATCCCTGCCCTGAGTCAGTGGCTTTAGTCATATGAGCACACTTCTGTACAATCTATATCAACTTATGGATCATATTTCACATCCCATTTATATCATTACAAGCTTCTCAGTTTTCTTCCCATTTCCAAGGTGTTAATGCATAATTAAAGATGTTGCAATCAGTCACTAGAGCCTTTTTATCTGGTTTCTAGATGAATTAGAGCCTTCTTGAAAGCATGTTCCATGGTTAGCTGCTTTCATGTATCTTTTTCCAGTCAGCAAACTATCTTGATTTCCACTATAATGATGACAACATATTTTCTCTCTAATGCTTTTTTTTTTTTTAAATTCATTGACCGCTTTGTTTAATTTGACAAATGCATTCATCATTGGTGTCATTTGGTTCCACTAGAATTGCATGATTGATCTCTATTGAGCTGTGGGTAGCCAGCTGATAACTCTTTCTTTTAAAATTTGCTTCTTTAGGGTGGAAAGCCACGTGTTGCTGATTTTGCTCATGGATCTGATGGATTTGGCAATATATTTCTTCCTCCACCCGTGGGAAAAAAGATAGAGAAAAGTGCATCAGAGTTTTTAGTTGATAAGGTTTCTCAGTACCCTGGTGATGTATCCATTCTTGCATTGGGACCTTTAACAAATTTAGCATTGGTGAGCTTATTTAAATGTTCAAAAGATATACTTTGCCTTTATATCAGAGGAATACTTGAAACCTGATGATGAACCATGTCTGCTTTTCTGAATAAGTTTTACTGCCAATCTTATATGCTACAATGGTTTGCTATTTACTTGCCTAGGCCATCAAAAGAGACTCTTCTTTTGCGAAGAAGGTGAAGAAGGTGGTTATTCTTGGTGGATCTTTCTTTGCTGCCGGAAATGTCAGTCCTGCTGCTGAAGCAAATGTAAAGTATCTTAAACATGACTTCTGTTCTGATATATGCTCCTATTCTTATCTTTCCATTAGTAAAGCATGTAGGATTGAGAAATTAGCCGCCATGTTACTGAAACAATTCAAACAAATTTGTTAAAAAAATAAAACGAACTAAAATTATATAAAAAATTTACATGTCTCTTTAAATTTTCTATTGAATCAGTTTGATGCGCAATTATATATGGTTTTGTCTTCAGTTTGTCTCTAGCACTAGTCTTACGATGAATGTATATGTTAGCCTGCAAATTTTGTTATGCCTTACTATGTGAGTACGCTTTTCCTTGGTACTTATAGATTGTCACCATACTCTATCAGCTGATATCAAATATCCATTGTAGTTTTTGCAGGATAGTACTCGAGTCATAACCTTTTTTTTCTCAAATTCATTTAATCCAATAGTTCTTTCCACCAAGAATTGCCTTTTTGGGTCTTGGACTCCTTTCGACAATTTGTCGGACCCGTATGTACTGGTGTTTCGATGAGGAAGAAAAAGAGTGTGAAGAGGAAAGGGTGGTGGAGGAACAGAGGAGGAAGAAGGAAGAATTAGAAGCAGCAGCACCACCATACCTGGGAAGCTTCGATAGCGGCGAAGCAGAAGCGACAATAGCAACGACGAGGGCAACAACATCGTACGCTAGAAAAGGGCTCGCGATCATGAGCCCTAATTTGTTTTTTTTTTTTCTCTTTTAACGCTGAGTTGGACAGATGCCCATCACTTTTTTTTTAATAATATTTTAACCAGACCACCTGAAATGGGGGTAGTCCGTGTATCGGCCCATGCCCGAATTAGTACATACCGCCTGTACTGCACCATTTCAAGTGGTACAATAGTACATTCTTTACATGATGATAAGTAAACACCTCTAAAATTTTCCTAAATGACACTTATGATGAGAGATTTTTATAGATTAAAAGAACCTAACATGGTTTGGTTAAGAAGAACCAAAATAGGGCTAATTTCTTCAGCTCAGCTCATAGCACCATTTATATTCAACTGAGTCCAATTTTTGGTTAGTTCCTTCCTAACACTTGGGTGTCTGGTTCACACAGAGTGTTTCATCTAAGTTAGATCAGTCTCTTTCATATATCTGGATGCACTATCCTTTAGTATGATTTCTTTGTCTGATCTAAAAATTTCCATGCGTTGAAAAATTGTTGCCAATCTACTACCTAATGCTATCATCTACCAGTAGTTGTTTTCAGTCGTGCTGCAAGATATGAGAACTATATCTGCAGCACGTTATATGAAAACTCTATGTATCTGTTGACATCTAATCAATGATTAAGTTTGTCTATGAAGACTCTGGTCCAGTTGAGTGTGAAAAATTTTCAACCCGTGTTGCAGATTTATGGAGACCCCGAAGCAGCTGACATTGTCTTTACATCTGGAGCAGATATAGTAGTCGTAGGAATAAACATCACCACTCAGGTCAAATTCACAGGTAACAAGGCTTCATGTTCATCTACGTTTATCATTGTTTTGCAACTCAGCTCTTAGAAACTACAGTCTGTGTTTTCAGATGCTGACCTCTGCGACCTAAGAAACTCTCAGGGAAGGCACTCACAAATTTTATCTGACATGTGCAAGTTCTACAGAGACTGGCATGTTAAGTCTGATGGTGTTTATGGTAGATCTACAGTCTCCCCACGTCTCTCTCTTTTTCTCGAAATATTTGTTTTTGAATGGATAAGCATTGACATAGCTATCGAATGCTACAGGTATTTTCCTACATGATCCTGTCAGCTTTGTCGCACTAGTTCGACCAGATCTTTTTACATTTAAAAAGGGGGTTGTGAGGGTTGAGACACAGGGAATCTGTGTGGGGCATACATTAATGGACCAAGGATTAAAAAGGTAGGCCACACCAGCCTTCTTCTTCAGTCAACTTTCTTGTAGTCGAATGCTTTTCTCTCTGAAGCAACATTTCTTGCAGGTGGAACACAAGCAATCCGTGGACAGGTTATTCACCTGTATCAGTTGCATGGACAGTTGATGTTCCTGGAGTTCTTTCATTCGTCAAACAGCTGCTTGCAAAACCATGAACCAGGAGAAGGGTGGTTAACCACTTCTCTTTGGAAGCCAGTTGCCTTTGTCAGATTTAGATAACCAAACACTGTAATCTGTAACTCCAAAAAAGAAAGGTGGTGTTGATCAATAAAATTCCATTCTGTAAACAATTTCGTCAAGTCATTTCTCCCCGCCGAACAGTAAAAGGATTGATGATTTAATAATGACAAGGTCTGATCCTGCTCGGTGTTGTTTGTATTGCTAAATTTGTTTTTTTAGTCACTGGCTGTGTTCTCTTGTTTCTTGATTATACTCGCAAGCTCGATGGAATCCAAAATCAAAGAGATGCGCATGCAGCACAGCCTTCCATGCTGACATTGATGAACTCCTGACCTCCGTGACTTTATTCAGGTTATATCTATCCCTTGTTGTGCAATTATTGGGTAATTTAATGAGCATGATCTAACAAATGGGATTGCCAGTGGTGCGAGGAAAAGCCATGATGCGATACGTGCCTGAAATGAAGCAACTTTTCAGGATAAGCAGAATACCCTTCTTTGGACTGTAAGCAAGCGGTAAGAAGAGGACAAGAATAGGATGTTGGTCTGCCACACACATACACAGGCCTTAAGCAGCCTCATTACTGCTGCCATATGCTTATCTGAAATGACCGGGAAACTGATACAAGCCACTATTGTTGCTGAGTGCCAATAATATTTCCAATAGTGCATACTGTTCTTCCTCAGATGGAAAAATAAGCAACTCCCTCAAATAAATTAAAGCACTTACTTGTGGTTGGTTTTTGATGATGACAGATTTAGGTCGTCCGTCGCAAGTGGAAAACTGGAGTTGACCTCATTTCATCTCCTTGGACTATAAAACAACATCATCATGAGCTCTTCTAGGATGCACAGGTGAATTCTTTCTTTAGTATAAGAGATAGTAATCTCTCTCAACACCAGTCACCTTTCTTCACCATGATTTAGTTGCTTTCATGCTCATTCTTTTTATTTTTCTTAGGTAAAAAAATAGAGGTCGAATTGTAGGGAATGTGTTACAAGAATTAGCATTTGTCTGCATAGTATCTTGAATTTGATTTCTGACCAGTAAGCATGTAGGTCATTCTAATCATAGGAGGGTTCTATGAACACTTAACTGCAAAATGAATGAGTAATGATGCAACATTATACCAAATGATCCAATCAAACCAAAATTTATTTCTTAGAATTCCTAGTAGAATATTTTAATGAGACAACTTGTGAGATTTATCTAGTGAGGAGGAAGATTCACCCACCAATATCTTCCCAAAAAAAAGACTAACCAGAATGTTTCCCACCTCCCCCACCACATTGGTGCAATAAGATTTATAGCTTGCTCAGATTGTATAGGAATCAAAACACATGGTTCATGAGCTTGTGGGACAACACTCTCCAAAATGGTCTGCTGCCACCATATCTTCTCAGATGCTCACATGCTTCATGATGCTTAAGATTAAAGAAGAAAAGAAGGCATTCAATTCATGCCACCTTTGAATGAGGATCTAACATTAGTTAGAAAACCACAATTACTGATCATAATAATACATACTATCTGAGGTAAATTGTACGGTCATAATTAAGTAGGCCAAGATTGATCATAGCTCAATTCATGTAAAATCTACTTAGGACACAGTTTACATGCATTTTAACTCTTCTCATAGCTTAAACCTTTGGGGATCAACAATTAGCCAATCAAAACTTTCATCATAGTAATATATTCTTCTCCATTTGTCTTGTACCATATCGTATATTCAATTTCAGGAGTCGAGCCTAACCGATCGACACATAAGAAGGGATGACACAATTTATAAATGTATCAGCAACTCCGATTGTTTAAGGTTTGGCATTATTGGTTATCCAATTAAAATCTTTACAGGTATATATATTAGTAGGACGTGCTTGATGCATCATGCATGGAATTGTTAATGGTACAGCAGTGGGACATGTTTGGATCCATGAGTATATAAAAGCGTTCCAGGACCGGCATGCCACCAGAAGCAACAGTGACGGGCAATACTCGAGAGGGAGGTCAGTGGTCCTGCGGATGCTAAATAATGGGCTTCAGGTAGATATTGCACCGTGCCAACCGCGTCACCAGTACACACAACACTGACATGCATCTCGGTAGTGCTGCCGTGTGTTACTCGTGACAGGAATCAATCATCCCTGTTCGTGACACACATGTGCTTTCACGCGCACACACATACAAGCACTTGGATCCAACAATTATTTGGATTTTGAGATTGCTTATTTTGAATTGAATTTGCAGATCTATAAGGGGAGTTAGATAAACAACCAGTAGGAAATTTTGGTTTATTTTTTTTCCTTTTATCTGTAATTTAAGAGTCCATTTAACCCTATGAATAAAGAATAACAATATAATGCATAGAAATATCTAAAATATAAAACAATAATTTTATATTTTAGTTTCTTCTATTTTTTTGTTTATTTTATAAGTACTTGTGAGTTTCTTTTCTCTCTCTCTCTCTCTCTCTCTCTCTCTCTCTCTATATATATATATATATATATATATATATATATAGACACAGGCAGACAACAACAAAACGTGGATGGAAGGCAAGTCGACAAAACGCTCTACGTTCCTAAAATTGTGGTCTTTCATTACCCTCTACCCATCTTTGACACTGCTTTTACAGTGCACCAAACACATGAAATCTGTGCGAGTATTGTATGACCATTGGAAGTGGAATCTCACGCCACCGTCATCTGTCTCCTCCTCCTCACCATATAAGTCACACTGGGCTACCTTCCCCATCCCTCAAGAGGAAGGAGGTCGACATGGAGGAAGTGGTCCTCGAAGCGTTTCGGTCTCGCTTCTCGATATTCTTCTTCTCCTTCGCAGCCGGCTTCGTGCTCCTGGCCGTGGTGCTCGAGTTGCTGCGGTGCATGCCGTGGTGGTGCAGCTGCCCGGTGTGCGAGGCGTACGTGACCAAGTCCTGGGCCGCCCGCTTCGACAACCTATGCGACTGGTACGCCCACCTCCTCCGGGAGTCGCCCACCCGCACCATCCACATCCACGTGCTCCGCAACACCGTCACCGCCAACCCCGACAACGTCGAGCACATGCTCCGGGCCCGCTTCGACAACTACCCCAAGGGCAAGCCCTTCTCCGCCATCCTCGGCGACCTGCTCGGCCGCGGCATCTTCAACGTCGACGGCGACCCCTGGCGCTTCCAGCGCAAGATGGCCAGCGCCGAGCTCGGTAGCACCGCCGTGCGCTTCTTTGCCTGCTGCATCGTCACCGCCGAGGTCCGCGAACGCCTCCTCCCCCTCTTCGACGCCGCGTGCGCCGGCTACGCGGTTCTCGACCTGCAGGATGTGTTCCGGCGGTTCGCCTTCGATAACATGTGCAAGATCTCGTTCGGGCTCGACCCCGGATGCCTCGAGCTGTCGCTGCCGGCGTCGGAGTTCGCGGCGGCCTTCGACAAGGCCTCCATGCTGTCGGCCTGGCGGGCGACCTCCACGATGCCTATCGTGTGGCGAGCCAAGCGGCTGCTGAACAGGGGATCCGAAAGAGAGCTCCGCGACGCGATCCGCCTCGTGAACCTCCTCGCCAAGGAGCTCATTCGCCAGCGAAGGAAGCTGGGGTTCTCCTCCAACCACGACCTCCTCTCCCGATTCATGGCCTGCGTCGACGACGACAAGTACCTTCGCGACATCACCATCAGCTTCCTGCTGGCCGGCCGCGACACCGTCGCCTCCGCCCTCACCAGCTTCTTCCTCCTCCTATCCCGCCACCCGGACGTCCGCTCCGCCATGCGCGACGAGATCGACCGCGTGGTGGGACGCGGCGCCGCGACCGCCAGCTACGACCATCTGAGGGACCTGCACTACGTGCACGCAGCCATCCACGAGAGCATGCGCCTGTACCCCCCGGTGCAGTTCGACTCCAAGTTCTGCCTCGACGACGACGTGCTACCCGACGGCACCTTCGTGGGGAGGGGCACCCGGGTAACGTACCACGCCTACGCCATGGGGAGAATGGAGGAGCTATGGGGGAGCGACTGCCACGAGTTCCGGCCGCAGCGGTGGCTCAGGAACGGCACATTCGCACCCGAAAGCCCCTACAAGTACCCCGTCTTCCAAGGCGGCCTCCGGGTGTGCCTGGGCAAGGAGATGGCGCTCATGGAGATGAAGACCGTGATCGTGGCTGTGGTCCGGCAATTCGACATCGACGTCCAAGCGGCATGGCCTCCCAAGTTCGCGCCCGGCCTCACCGCCTCCCTGAAGGGTGGCCTTCCCGTCCGAATCCGCCGCAATGCATGTACAGAAGTCGACATGTCTCCAACAAGAATATGATTATAACATGACGAAGCTATGCATGTCATATATAAATATATATATATAATATGACGTCAATTGGTGGCTGCAATGACTACCTATTCCAATTCCAATTCCAATTGGTAGGTGCCACTGTCGTATGAAATTGTATTGGCACATCAATAGCAGAGATTGAATAAGCTGGAATCCATATCCATACTGTTGATTTGGATGTGACGCAGTGAGCGTCGGCTTGGTGTATAGTCGTCGTCTCCATTTCTTGAAATGGGTGTTTCGAGGCACGTGTCGGAATGGATGTAATGTATTGTAAGAGCGTGCGGGGCCGAGTCACCAACCATTGTCGAGGGCGAAGGATAAGCGGTCAGGTCAACGTGAGGTTGGAGGCCTCGCGATCCGACACTACACCGATCTATGCGATGGTTCCGCTGCATGCTGTGTGTGTTGAAGCTTATGATCGGAAGAAATGTAATCTAAGATAAAATTTAAATTCTACTGATACGAAAGAACCTAATTATTTGTGAATTCCAACATCTCCTTTTTAAATGCTAAAATTGTGATGCCAAGTAATTTGGATCCAATTACCTTTTTTATTTTTTTTTTAATTCAATATCATTCACTTAGCATCGTGCAAAACCTTTTAGATCTCTGGCTCGGTGTAGTATTAATGAACTTACTAGGTGTATAATAATACGTGAGATAAATATGATACTTTTTAAGTGCACAATAATACTTTTATGAGTCATTAATTCTCTAGTATTCATATTCAATCGAGTAAATATCCTTATCAGTGCTCTCTCCTATAGGAGAGTTAAGGGCACAAGATCATCTACTCTTCAAACAATGTGGGAGTAAATATCCTTATCAGTGCTCCCTCTTATAAGGGAGTTAAAGGCACAAGACCCTTCTTCTAGTGCCGGAGTTTTGTGTTGGATTATTATTATTTTTTCAAGTCCGTGCCGATAAATCAACATTTGATTGGTTCATTATTCGTGTGGTCCTTCGGCTCACGACCCGATGGACTTATGAGTCATTGATGTTTTTTATAAACTCGTGAGATATTGGCCATAAGGGTAAGGGTAAGGGTAAGGGTGCCTCTAAAAGTAATGATGACCCGATGGAGTTATGAGTCACTAGATCCCTATTCTTCAACCAATGTGAGAATAAATATCCTTATCAGTGCTCCCTCCTATAAGAAAGTTAAGGGCACAAGACCCTCCTTCTAGTACCAGAGTTTGGAAGCTTCGAAAGATATATGATCCGACAGACTTATAAGTTTTCAATTTCCCTACTCCTTAACCCTAATTATCCTTATTACGTGATCTTTTCCACGTGCACTAAAAAAATCTCGATTATATTAGTTTATGATTACGATGAATATAACATTTAATAATTAAGGTTGATCCTTGTAAGAAAAAAAATTATAGCATCTCATACAAGATCAGAATTCTCGTTGGTTTTGTATCGAATAACTATTGGTTTGGTCAATAAAACATTTATAGAACAAAATTATATTATATTTGGGCTGCTACTTGCATTGGGAATCGACTTCAAGAACACTTCATGTTTGGTTGGGCTCATCATTCCCGTATCAATGATGCGATGCTTCGGATGCACCAAACATACGTATTTGTTTGGGGTCTATAGAATTCCCAAAAGAAGAAGGAGCGCAATAAAAATTCCCAAAATTTTTGAATTTTTGTGTGGATACGTCAATGGTCCATTAAAATCGGATTCTCTAACTTCTAATTGAGTTTGGGATAAGAGCATACTTCAAATATAGATACTTAAGTATAATTAAAAGAACCATCTAATTAGTTAATTATGAACAGTATTTTCCATCAATCAAAACTCAGACGTTTGTAATTTATGATATATATCGGTAACTGTCCTGTCTATTTTTTTTTACCGTTTCGACTTTCAAAAGTTTTATCAGGCTTTTCGCTTAATTTTTCGTTTGATCTCTTATCGATTTAATACCGTTAATTTTTTGTTCGTCGAAGCGTTGACCAAAGTGATCGACTAAAAAGATGTGCCCAATATATTTTTCTTAGGTTAAACATCGTAAATATCATAATATATTTTTGTCAGACTAATTATCAAAAGAACTTCGATACATCATTCTTAAATCAAGAATAAAAAATGTGCCTAATATATCTTTCTCGTATTAAAAAAAATAAAATAATAGATGTATCTTTCTCGAACTAAACATCTCAAGACACCCGGATTAGGACAGGTCAAGATGATGCTCAACACATGATAGTATGTATTTGAGGGAACAAATAACAGAAAATAATTCATCCAATCATGACTCGACACATGTTAGTCTGATCAATAAGTAAAAATGACCCTCGATCAATCATTCAACCATATAAATATTAACTCAGTATAAAATCTTGAAAGAATATTTTATTCATTCTATAAAATATATTTTTTTAATTAAATTCATCATAAAAAAATTTATAATCAAAGAGAAATTACAGTATACTCTCTCTCTCTCTCTCTCTTCTCGAACTAACTAAAGAGTTAGAAAATATATCGACAAAAACCGCAGTCGATCTCTATCTTCAGACATATCGGCGGCCAAGTGAAATGCTCGTTCAATCACATCAAATTTCGTGTGCACGCAGATCAAAATGGAATCAGACGTGATCGACATCCGGCACCTACGTCCTTTTGGGTCTCTGGGGATCACGGACGACATGATCTTGGCGCGATCGCTATCCGAATCGCGGCAGCAACTGGCGAGGTGCGCGCCGCAAGCTTGGACTTCCAAAGTTGCACACAACTCGATGCCAACACGCTTCCTCCCCCGACAACTCTTGGGATGCGTCCAGGGGCAGCAGATGCGCGCGCACATATCATCACCAGAAGTGGCCGGCTTTTGGTGTCGCCGAATCGGAACCTCTGCTTTCGTCTCGCGCCCCCCCGCAGCACATAATCTTTGCACGCACCCTCCCGCAGGTGCCTGCCGGTCTCGCGCCGCCTATTTCAATCGCCTTCTCTCTCTCTCTCTCTCTCTGCGACTCCCAGCTGTGAATGCCTCCCCCCCTTTGTTCTAGGGTTTTGTTAAGTCACCCCTTTTCTCCGATGTCTCTAATGGCGCTGAGGGAGCAGCTCAACATGTTGGTGAATTCCATGTACATCGAGGTACTTTTAGTCACCCCTATACCTTTCCGTTCTTTTTCTCTTCGCAGGACAGAAAAAAAAATCATTTTTTTGGTTGTTTCTTGTTGTTATAATCGCTGTTTTCTTCTAAAAATGTATCCTTTACTTGTTGGATCTCATGTAAGGGTTCAGTTTCGTTGAATAATCCGCTATCTGGATCTTGTTTGGTGTTCTTCTCCATCGATTTCATTGTCGCCGTCGTTTTTGATCTCCGAACTGTCTCGAAGTTGGCTTGCGTATTTCTTGATCTTTTTGGGTTCACTGATGTTTCTTGTTATAGCTTATGGCTGTATCTCTATTGCTTGCAGGGCTTGTTGGATCAACAGTTCCAACAGCTTCAGATGCTGCAAGATGCGAGTAGTCCTGGTTTCGTTGCTGAGGTGATCACCTTGTTCTGTGAAGATGCGGAGAGGATACTGACCGAGCTGACTAAATTAGTGTATGTGACGGCTCCTGTGATGTTTCTTCAGGATTCTATACATTCAATCGCCTATATTTAGAGACATACCCCATTCTGCAGGGATCAAGCTGTTGTTGAGTTTCAAAAGGTGGATGCTTATGTTCACCAACTTAAAGGAAGCAGCTCAAGGTTTTTTTCTTCTCTCTTTTTTTCTTACAGCATTTAGCTGTCAGATCGATTTAACTTGCACCGTAGGGTGTTGTTTTCTTCTTTAGCCACGGCTACCATCTGATGCTCAGATTTGCTGTTAGTTTCACTGATTTGTGCAACTCATCCAGACTTGTGACTAAGAGCACTTGTGATAGATAGCCCATACTGGCTGGAGACTTCTGCATTGGGCCTGCATTTAGATTATGAATTTATAAGCTGAGTTGTCTTCCCAACTATAAGATGTAGCGTATAAAATGATACTGAACCGAGAATGGATTCCAGGCATGACCACTTCAGCTCCAGGAGGTTTTATCCACCTCCACAGAGAAGGAAGCAATGGTTTTATTCCATCCAAAAAATGCTGATTTATTCCAAGAATGCATGGAATAAGTGAGAAGAACAAGTATTTCACTCTTTTTCTTGTGACTGTCATGTGCATGTTTGGAAATTAATATTTGATGGATCTCAAGATGTGCCAAACGTTTCAAAATAAATTAGAATGAATGTACTCCATGCTTATCATATTTTATGGTTAAAGAGTGAATTAGTCCATGAGACTCCCACAAATGCAGGGTATTCAGTGTATATATAACATGTTCTTTTCAAGCAGAGAGGTTTGTTTCCATGGTATGAATCTTGGTCACCTTGTTTCCAAGGAGCAAACCTTACCATGGTCTCAAGACTCACCCTCTAATTATAATGTGATAATTATGCTACTCATAATTTAGATGTATAATTATTATGAATTGTGTAAATTGCACAAGATATATCTTCATATTATAAGGTAGTCTCAGTGTACATACATGCACACAATTATTATGACCATATCATATTCTGTCTAAGGTTTGCTCTGTAGTGTAATGTATAATATACATTGCCATGCTTCTTTGCTGGAACAGTGTATTATGACTAGATTCCTTTTCATTAGTGTTGACCTGCATATCTGATTTCCAATGTTTACCTTGTTAGGAAGTACTGAACTTATTGCACTTTGATAAATCCCAGGAGCTCATGCCTCATTGTATCTATAATTGTATTTGTAAAACATTACCACATGGAAAACCACTGATGACATCTTATTTCCTATACCATGATCCTCATCCTTTTCTCTTTCTTAGTTGGGCCCTCTGTTTTGCAGTGTGGGTGCTCAAAATGTGAAATTGGCTTGTATTCAGTTCCGACAGTTCTGTGAGGAGAATAATAAAGATGGGTAAGTATTGTTGCTCAAGTTATGGAATCACATAAATGTATAAATCATACATGAAAACAGTACTTACAAACGTCCAAAATACTTCTCCAAAGAAGAATGATGCAATAACAAATGACTTAAAGTTAAAGAAAATTATGGTAAGCACTATTTTGAGTTCAATTACCGTCTTCTTTTTCTCACTCTATTTTAATGACATTAATATCTATTTCTGGGCCCTTGTTTGACTTGCACTTATACAATGAGAAAGTTGCTTCTTTATCAGGTGTCTCAATGCCTTGAATGTGGTCAAGCATCATTATTATCTTCTACGGAACAAATTTGACACCATGTTGCAGGTAATTCTTAATCTGTTTGAGAAAAATGTTATAGAAATAAATCTCTGAAACTTCCAGAACATAACATCTTGGACAATTGTTTATTGCAACATCTAGTCCTATTAGTTTATTGCATGGTGAACCACCTTTAGGAGTTTGATGTATAAATTTTTTCAATATAATTGTTAAATTGATTCTATATGCTAGCCATATGGTTGTCCAAAGCAACTATTGTCTTACGGGCACATTGCTCGGTACATAACATGCTGATCGGATTTACAAGCGTGAATCACAATGAAATGTTAACATAGATCTGTTGTCTTTATGGAGAATAACCTATATTTTGATCCTGAAATGTTTGATAATATTGGTAATGGAACCAAATTCAAGCATATTATGCTGCTAAAATCAAAACAGTGTTTTGTTCTATTATTGAAGTATTATTAAATTAAAAAAATTCTGATGAAACTGGAAAACCTGTCTCCGTCATATAATAACGTATGATATTCTATTTGCATTTATGACATCCTCCATCACTTTCCTTCACCTTGTTCTTAAAGCAGTCTGACAAGAAAATACTGTATGCAACAGAGTTACTTGCTTTTTAGGAATTAAGGCATGCAAAATGCACGGTGATGTCCTTGAAACATTTTTCTGACAGAACCTTTGAATTTTGTGTTTGGCATTTTCGCTGGGAGATTATCCTGTCAAAAGGCTGAATAAATGGAGATGTCTTCTTAGCAACTTTGTATATTACCTTTGCTGCATACACATCGAATTAAGTTTCATATACCTACAAAATGCTGCTTAAACTACGGGTGCTAATTTCTCATTGAATATACCAGCTTATGCATTATGCTCTGTTTCTTTATTCTCTCCTATTGTGGGTTTCAGTCTTGGTTTTCCATGGATACTTTTTGTCATCTTGTAAGATATGGTGCCATGTGAAAACTTAGATGGGCAGTTGGCTTGCTAATTATTTTCCAGCTAGGATTAAAGCTTTAATGAAACATAACATATGCATCCTTTTGCCCCCCATTTGGTTCTCATGGCTTTATAGAAACTTGGATAGACCTTTTTGGAATCAATTTATTAGGGATCGTTTACATAGTCATGCCTCATTTATATCGTTAGCTGAATAAACAACATGAACAAATTATCTAGTGAACTGCATACAGGGTTATCACAATTTGAAATGATGGCCATAATTTATTATGGTTATAGTCGTATTCAGAAGTTGTCACAATTAGAAACAAAATGATGTCAATGCGTGCCATTAGCGAAAATGGCAAACTAACACATTTTCATACACAGCTTGAGCAGAGAATCCAAGCCTACGACAGCAAACAGCAAAATTAGAGGAAAAAGAGAAGAAAGGGGTCGCGGACTATGCTGAACCATCTCGCCTCTTTCACGGTCAAGTTATCGGTTGTTTATAGACTACTACTTGACTCCAGACATTGTGTTTGAACATATATTTCCATCAAGTTGAATCAAATGTCCTGTATGTCACTTGGAAACCATTGGTTTGAACTTATATTTCGAAAACAGCTGATGCTATGGCCAGAGTGCTGTTCTCAGCAGATGTATATTATAAATGGTGGATCTGTTGCTTTAGCTTCACATTGCATTTCTTGTATCTCTGGTTGAGGTTTTAGATTTGCCTCTTGAGAAATTTCTTGGTAACTTCCATGTTAATTATGGTAGGATTTTGTGGTCACATAATTTTAAATTCTCTATAACAATCGAAGTATATGATATGAAATCTCCATCGTTTGGTATCGAATCTACCTATGTTGAACTATACATTTCAAATATCGATTTTTGATGACCTCTTATCATCTGATTCACATTCTTTCCCATCGTTTAATGCATGTGGTAATTCAAAATTGCATGGCATTTTCTTTCCCTATATGTTTATATGTCAATTTTGTGGGTGGATTTGACTGATTTGATGCACAAATTGGGTCGAATCAAATGGAGGATGACATGATTCAAGCATCATTAACATGATTTCACATACCAATGATATCATTAATTTTACCTATTTTCCTGATTTATAATTTCTTTGTGCCTATCCCGTCATTCTCGAAAGAGAGAGACGTTCTAGAGTCGCTCCCTGAGTCGTGGGTTAATTCGGGATTGTCGTTGAGACAGCAAACCGAACAGAGTCGAGAAGTCGACCGGAGGTAGGGAAACGAACTAGGTCGGGTCGGGTCGACAGAATCGAATGTGATGTCCGGTTCGGGAATACCCGTCGATTCGAACCGGATGCGGGTCGCACCGCGGCGTTAAGACTCCGACACGAACTCGGGAACATTCTAGGTTTTCTTTTATAGAGGCCGTTCTGCCCCCTTCTCTTCCTCTCGTCTTCTTCTGCGTCGCGGCCGCCGATCGCATCGCCCACTGCCTGGCCGCCACTACGCCTCCGGTGGAGGAGGTGACATCGACACCCGAAGGTGCGCGTCCTATACTACTCCTTGACATTGTTGTCGACCTTTGTTCGCATCGATGGCGGCGCTGCCCTTGCCCTAACCCTAGTCTTACACCGTTCTTTCTTCAAGTCAATGGCTTCTCTGATAGTTGTATGCGCTCAATTCCTTTCTCAAACTGTCTGCTCCCTTAGGCTTTGCCTTATATGTGATGGTTGCTTTACCCTAGTCTTTCCTGCTAAGAATGGAATTATGTGATCAATATACTTATACCAGTTGTAGAGAGAGAGAGAGAGAGAGAGAGAGAGAGAGAGAGAGAGACGACCAGTAAGTTTCGGGACGGAA